CCACAGATGGCCTTATTTTGGGCCAGATGAGGGTTATGTGCTATAACCCCAGTGCTTGGGAGGCTGAGGCAGGAGGTTTGCCATGAGATTGAGGCTAGCCTGGACTACGTATAGTAAGTTGAAGACCACCCGGAACTGTATAATGAGACCCTGTCTCAACAAACAAGCTTGCAAAGCCCCACAGTAGTCGTTTTCAGGCCCTGGGGTTAATTACAGGCAATTGAAATGCAGTTAACTCTTCATGGCCTTGGTTTAATGTAAGCTGTCTTTCACGTCCCTTCCTTCTCTTTATTTTATGCCTTTTGGTGGTAGCAGCCTGCTGTGGTGTGCTGCTGTAGGTTTGCCACCAGTGCTTTAATCACTGAGGAGTGACTTGGTGGGTGCTGACCAAGGGATGCTGCTGTGACTTCAGTACCCAGCCAGCTTTGTAGACATCCTGGGACATGGCCTTACAGATTATGTTGGCAGTTTACTCTTGTTTTGGTTTTTTGAGAGAATCTCAAAATGTACCTTGGGCTTGCCTCAACTCAGGGTCCTCTTGCCTCAGTTTCCTGGTTGCCACTAAGCTCAGTTTGTTTGCTTACTTGTGTGTGTTTTTGAGACAGTATGCTGTTCAGGCCGGCCTTGAACTCACTTTGTAGCCCAAGTTGGCTTTGAACTCACCATAGTCTTCCTGCCCCTGCCTCTTGGGTGCTGGGATTACAGGTATGTGTCACTATCCCCACCTGTATGTTGTATTTCTCTTTAAATTTCTATTGTGTTTTATTGGTACTTGTTGGACACTGGAAAGAGTTTTGAGGTTTAAAGTGCTGGAAAGAGGCAGTATTTTGAGAACTCAGTCACCATTTACAGCACAGCCTGTGGTGTGGTTTTAGTGTGCACCTCCAGCCAGTGGTTCCCACACTGGTTGTGCTAGGAAATGGGCCTCAGCCCTTTTCCTCATAGTAGGGTAATACTTAAGCTGGATTGTCACAAAGTCAAGCAGCAGTACAGTGGTGTTTTTTTGGGTGGTGCTAGGGCGAGTCTGGTGGCTGCTGGATAAATGTTGTACCAGTGAGCTACACCTCAGCCTGTGAAGTTCTAATTTACAGGAAATGGGACAGGTTTTCCTGTATGCTCTTTGCTAAGCTTTCCTTAGTAGAACGTCGTACATAACCATGGTGGTTGATCAAAACAAAGAATTTCATGTTGGGCAGTGCTGTGCACTGTATATTTTATCACATTCCACCTGCTTTCCACTAACTGCATTTCCTGCCCCAGAATCCAGTTCCGGAACCCAAGCTGTGTTTAGCTGTGGCCTTTACTCTGAGTCACCTGAAGATGATGGACAGGCTAACTCTTATTTTTGTCTAATAGGCCTGTGGTTGTTGGTGATGTCTCTTGCTTGGTGAAATGTCCTAGGTTCATCTTGCTGTCTCTTTTCCAAGCCTAACTGACTACGGTGCAGTTTGGATTCTCTCAGTCCTAGATGGGCCTGACATTGTCTCTGTGGCTGGTTTTGTCCAGTACATATTCACAGATTGTGTCCGCTGGCAATGAAATCTACACACTAGTAACTGGGTGTGGTGATGACAACCAGTGACCCCAGCACTAAGAGGCTGAGGCAAGAGGAATACAAGTTTGAACTCAGGCTGGGCAACATGGCCACTTAGCAGGACCCTGTCTCAATATAAAAAGTAAAAAGATGCTGTGGTTGTGTAGATCACTGTGAAGGCCCTAGGTTCAATTGGCAGAACCACAAAAAAAAAAAAGTCCACACGTTTCTGAGCTTCCCTCTTAGTGAGAGGTGGGCTGGGTGAAACCAGGAGGCCCTGTAGTCCTAAGGTGGGAAACATGGTGCTGCTGGAGAAAGAAGAGTGGATGGCTGGGCAGATTTGCAGGCTAGGACAGGTAGAACCTCAGTCTGAGTGCCCAGCGTAGAATTCACTGGAGAAAAGCCGGGTTTGGAGAGGGGAGGGGGAAGGGAGGCTTCAGGTTGGGTCATGTTCTATTTGGGATGCCTGTAGACACCCAAGTGCTTTGCTGCACAGTCATCTATTTGTGTGTGAAGCCTGAGAAGAGAACAAGGGTGGAATTTACATGGAGACTTGGTATTTACAGGGTGGGGTGGCTGGAAAGGGCCAGGAGCCCTTTGCTTTCCCCTAGGATCTGAGACTATGGATTTGGAAAGTTAGCCAGGGCAAACCCTTAAACATTTGGGATAGTGCCCTGGAGACTTGTGTTCTGACCCCAAATCAGGGTTTGTTTCAAGTGGTGGTAGTGTGGAGTCCTGTGAGGCAGCAAAAAGTTTGGACTATTTGGAAGATTGATCTCATTCTTGTATTTGCTTGTTCCTCAGTGACCAGCATTCTAGCATCACCTGAGTCTAGGCACTGTTGGTTGGTGTTTTGCATATCCATTGCCTTGTTAACCCTGTGCCTGCCCTGGAGGGGCTCAGATATGCACCAGAGGTTTGAGTAGCTGTTACTACAGCCTCCCTTACCTGGCAAATGTGGCCTTAAGTGTGAGCATGTGGGTTTTTTTTTTTTTTTTTTTTTTTTTTGGTACCGAGGATTGAACTCATGACTTCTTTGCATTTGACATGCAGACACTTACGCCACTGAGCTAAACTCCTGGCTTCAGTGAGCATATGTTCTTAGCTGTTTGTTCTCTGCCTTTGGTGGCATCTGGTTGCCATGGTACTATCACTAGCATGCATACACACATTAGTGCAGATGTGGGACTAGTTGGCTTGGCAGAAGAAACTGCTTTGGATTGATAGCAGTGATAATGTGTACATATCTGACACGGTGGCTGACCTCTTGCTCTCTGTGGCTCAGAGGGATGGTCCAGTGTGTGGAGCCAGAAGACAGTTCTGAGATTTCCATCCATGTTCTTGGAGTAATCAGCATGTTTTCCCTGTGTCTGTCCTCTGGGTACTGAGGTTGGTTGCTTGCATCATTGCTTAGGCTTTTGAGGAAGAGCCTAAGGGGATGTGGGTTTGCTGCAGCTCTGGTGTGGTCTGGTCTGGTCTGGTCCTGGAAGCTAGAAGATTGCCCTGTTTCTGGGATGAAGGAGGGTCAGCTGCTTGCCCTTTCTGAGAGCCTGACTTTCGCTTGTTACACAGCTAGTCTGGCCAGCTTGCCACTGTGAAACTAGTGTGTCCTCTTATTACTAGGTGTTCACTCTTTAGTCTGTAACAGTACTTGGACTAACATTTTTTCTTTCATGTTTTGTGTTTAGGTTTCTAAATGGAGTTGAAATTAGTATATACTCCCAGATATGTTCCATTGTGCCTGGCAACACATGAGATCTTGTATCTTGGTTTTTTTTTTTTTTTTTTTTGTCTTCTTGAGATAGGGTTTCCCTTTGCAGTTCAAGCTGGTCTTGAGCTCACTTTGTAGCCCATACTGGTCTCAAACTTGAAACGTTCTCTCTGCCTCAGCCTTCCCAGTGCTGGGATTACAGGCTGTGTCTTCATACCCAGCTTCCTTGTAGGGATTTTAGTTGAAGCTCCTGATGCCTGTGCCTGAAAAGCAAATGTCAGCCTGAAAACCCCAGTTTTGTCTATTAGTTGGACAAGTGGTTGTATACACACATGTTGAGTCCTGATTTTTTACATGTATATTAATATGTATGTACACACACATACATGCATATGATAAAACTGCATCTTTTTATCATTGTTGCCTGTGGGAGTTTAGTGCCAGACACCACTATACTGCTAAGTCATGCCCTTAGCCGCTGTGCCTCTTGTTTTGATAAATGCAGATCATATGTAGTTAGGGTTTTCTTTAACTTCAACATTGTTCAGCTTCAGCAACTTGGCTTTAGGAAGATTATTTACATATATGGTATTTGCTCACAGAATGTTTCTTTTGAAACTTTAAAATTGTGGTTTCTGTGGGGACTACTGAAAGCCCTGCTTCAGTTTTGAGCAGAGAAGCTGAAGAGAATGACTTGCTTTAACAAGTGAAAGCATCTTTCAGCCTAGACCTGTTCTGTCCCCAGTGCACTCCCTCTTATTTAAAGGCCATGAGCTCTGTTACTGAGGTACATCCTCAGCCCTATGTAGTTTGGTTTAACAGAGTGGCTTATGAAGTCAGATTTAAGGAAACAAAATTGGTTAGCAAATGTCACATTTTGAAGAAGTATGTTGTTGCTCTGTGTGATTGCCAAGCTCCAACTATCACAGAGGTGGCAGGAGCAGAATGGCATTCCCTGGATGAAGGAACAGGTGAAACAAGGCTCTGCTAGTTTTCCCCACCCTAAAGCTTCATGTGCAATGATTCTGTCAGTCAGTGTTGGCCTCTGGGAGTGTGGTATGGTGTGGTGTGTGTGTGGTCTGCCCCAACAGTAATTGCTAGAAGAAAGGCCTTTCATTTTTCTCCCAGGGAGAGTGTGGTAGTTGTTTTATGATCCTCTGATGAGAATGAGTGAGGTGGGGCCAGGAATTTAGCTCAGTATCTTAAAGTACCTGCCTGGCAAGTGTAAGGTCTAGAGTTCAATCCCCAGCACCCCCTGGGGGTGGGGAGGCTGAGTTATTTGGGGGACTCTTTCTTAGGTGTAGGGGCAGTGTTTTTGTCCTTGGAGCTTCATGACCTTTCTTAACACTTGGCACAGAACATGTAAAGGGAGGTGGTAACTGAAGCTTCTAGGTATGGTTGTTCCTAGGATACATACAACAAACCTGTTAGCTCCTATCAAATGGCCATCTGGGCTCTGCCTGCCTCACCACTCACCTGCTTGATTATTTGGGTTAGGCTTTTATTAGACTATTCCTGAACAGTTTCCACATCTGTGAGGTCTCTGGCATGAGTTTTAGAACCAAGACTCAGACCAGGCCCGGGTGGACAGACCTCATAGCAGGCTGTTGAAATTCCTCTGTGGTCAGTAGGTGCAGAGCTGAACACTTGCTTCCTGCTCACTCTCACTCTGTGACCAACCTAGCCTTGGCAGCCTTATTTTTTTTCCCCCTCCCGCTAGCAGCCTTATCATTGATCACTCATTTTTATTTGCAGGACTTGTTCCAGCAAACTGTTAAAACATGGTGGATTACTATGAAGTTCTAGGCGTGCAGAGACATGCCTCCCCTGAGGACATCAAGAAGGCGTAAGTACTATATGGCTGCAATTGAACACTGGTGACTGGGTAGCACATGTTTTTTCTGTTACTGATTAGAGCACCTCTGCTGCTTATTTTGCAGAGGTAGGATTGGAACTGAGGGCATCACTTTTTGGGCAAGTGCTCTACCACCAGCTGCAAAGTAGTTTGTGGATTGTGTCTGATGTGGTGGTGTACTATCAGCATCATGTAGTTTTATTAACTTTTGACAGCAATGGATGTGTGTGCCATGTCTGGGCCTAGCCTAGTCCTGATTCCTGTTGCTGTGCCTTGATCATGGACTCCTTGTCTGCTTGAAGCACGTCAATTCATGCAAACAAAAAAACACAAACAGAAAACAAGCAAACAAAAAATCCTATAAACTCATGGAGAGTTTGGTAGGCTGAGGCAGGATTATTGAGTTTGAGGCCAGGCTGGGCTGCATAGTAAGTTCAAGGCTAGCCTGAGCTACTTAGGCCCTGTCTCAACAAGAAAAGCTGATTGAGGTAGTGCATGCCTGCAATTGAAGTATTCAGAAGCTGAGGCCAGGAGGAGCACCATGAGTTTGAGGTCAGCCTGGGCAATGTAGTGAGTTCAGGTCCAGCCTGAACTACATAGTGAGGCCATGACTCAAAAACAAAATAAAAAGTAGCAACAAAATTTTATAGAGTGAGTTTGGTAAGCCTAGGATTATTGAAATCACTTTAAATTGTGAAATAATGAAATCCACACTTCTGCATAAAAATTTTTTTGGTATTGTTTTATGAAGGGGGCTAGTCCTAGGAATTGAAACAGGGCCTTTGTAGTGAGCCACGTTTTTAGCCCTTTTAATTTTGTATTTAAAAAGAGGGTCTTGCTAAATTGCCCAAGCTGTGATTTAGCTCAAGATCTTCCCTTTTTAGTAGCTGGGATAATAGGTATATGTCACAGTGCAGGCTGGAAGTTTGTTGAGTTAGGGCTGGAAATACAGCTCAGTGATAAGAGCATGTTTAGCATGCCATGACCCTGTGCTCAATCCCTGGAATCAGTTTTTTTTTTTTTTTTAATAACAAGAAAACTAAGATGGGGGATGATAGCTATGTTGGGTAAAGTTGCCCGCAGAGTACTGTTTCAAACCTCAGCTAAGGTGCCATAGGCACAGCTTACTGGTCAGGTTTGTGTGGTTTTCCCATCCTGTGTGTGAACTTGTGGCACTTGATTTAGGTCTGCACTGTTCTTTAACTGCTTAGTTAATAGCCAGCAGTACTTTTAATAGGTTGTGGACCAAAGAGATATTTCTAAGTCTTTTTTATTGTTGTTGAATAAGCATAGAATGTGCAAAAATCTTTGTTTTCACTGATAGAATTGTATGCCTTTGATTATACTAGAGGTAGAGAGTAGATGGCTTTTACTTAAGGTTGGTGTCTGTCTCCTGGATGAATTTAGAAAAGGCCATTACCTTTAAAAGCAGCAGGATTTTCTCACTTGGTATCTACGACCTTCGTAGGTGAGCTAAATGATAGCAGTAGAGTGGTCCATATTATCAGAACTGCTGCATTGTGGGCCCCTGGATCTTTTGTGTACACTGGCTGTGTGAGGACTCAGATTGTGTTGCTACCACTTCACTCCTGGTTTCCTAAGGCAACCAGATTCTGCTCCAGTTTGAATCATAGGCCAAGGGCCAGTGAAGTGTGGTGTGTAGGTTACAAAGGCTTGGAGTATGCCACTGTTTACCTTCTCCTCTTAAACTCTGAATTACTTCTTGATTTTGTTTTGTTTTTCCTGGGGTATGAGGGATCAGACCCTCTGCCTTGTACCTACTAGATAAATATTGTCTATGACTGAACTACGCTCCTAACCCCCCCTTACACCTTGGATTTTAGAAACTTCAATAGTATATGACCAGGGACAGAGAACTGAATCTCAGTAGATTTTCATAGGTTACTTATTTTCACATGAACATTGGATGGTTGGTGAAGTTCCTATTTTTGTTTTAAATTTTAAGGGATGCATTCCTCCCTTATAATGCGACATGCCTTTTTACTTATTTTTCCATAATAGGGAGGGAGCCTAGCTGATTTACCGAGCCATGTCCCCAGCCCTTTGTATTCTTTATTTTGAGTCAGGGTGTTACTGAGTTGTACAGGCAGGCCTTCAGTTTCCAGGACTCAGTCTCTCGTGCACAGTAGCTGGGATTATAGGAATGTGGCAGGCCAGCACACTGTCTTTTACATTCGTACTGCTTATACTTTGCTGATCAGCTGGAGGCTTCTCCACTCCTTTTTTGGTGCAGGAACCCAGTCCAGGCCCTCATATGCTGGCAGACTGCTGAGCTACACTTCTCCTCAAAACCAGTGTTAATAAACTCCATTTCCACACTGATTGAAGAACAGGTGCCTGGTGGCAGGATCCTGGCATCCTGTTCTGTGGTGTGGCAACCTTTGTTGCAGTGATCTGCCAGGCTGGCTGAGGAAATAGGGATTGTATGGAAAGATAAGGGCAATATGTTGGATCTTTACTGCCCCCTGATGAAGGCCACCCTAAGACAAATGCCCCCCTCAAATACAGTTTGTGTGTAATTTACCAGTAATCATGGGCCTATGTTGTAGGCATTCAGATCCACAAACTGGCTTAATTTTGGAAGACAGATTATATTAGTGTCTATATATAGAACTCAGGAAAAGGGGAGCTTTCTAGTTAAAACTAGTATTAATTTCACCAGCTGGCACCTCTGAAATCATTTTCTTGCTTAATAATGTTAGTTTTAAAAAAACTTTTGGGTTTTGGACATGACTGATAATCTGTGCTTTTTGAAGATACCGGAAACTGGCGCTACAGTGGCACCCAGATAAAAATCCTGAGAATAAAGAAGAAGCAGAGCGAAAATTCAAACAAGTGGCTGAGGCATATGAGGTGTTATCAGATGGTAAGTGGCATGAACTGGGCTTGCGCAGAGCTGAGTGGGTAAGTTGATGTGCAGGGTTGAATAGAATGTGGGCACACAGGACGCACTGTGTTCCAAGTGGATTCAAGGGCCATGGAAAACAAGTTATTTCTTGCATGGAGTTTGTAGCTGGAGTGTTATGGGTGAGTACTGAGGAGTGTTTGGCTTCCAGCAGGTTCTCTTGAGTACTGTTTTAAAATAGCACTTAGTAGTGTGGGTTTGAATAAGTGAGGGTTAGGACTGTTTTTTACTGCAGGGGGTGGCTGCCTGTTGCTTCTTGTCTTGGTTACTTTTCTTTCTTTTCTTGGGTACTGGGGATTGAATTTATGACCTTGCAGTTGCCAGGCAGGTGCTGTGCTGCTGAGGTGTATCCCTGGCCCTTTACTTTTCTCTATTGCTGGGACAAAATGCTCAACGCCCAAAGTTAAAGGAGGGAAAAGTTTATTTAGCTCAGTTTGTGGAAGTTTCAGTCCATAATCAGCTCCTGCAAGGCAGAGTGGGGAAACATGGAGTCCATGGCAGTGAAAGCAGCAAAAGCAACAAGAACAAAAAGGTGGAGTGCAGAGAAGACTCTTCTGTCTCCTATATTGTAAGTAGGCTCTCCATTCTAGGGTGAAGGTAGAACTTATACCCATAATCCCAGTCATAAACTCTAGTCTGCCCCATGACCACATGAAGCTTTGGTGGGGAGACATCCAAACACAAACCTTAACATTGCTGCTTTAATGTCTCTTGATTCTGACCTTTTTCATGCTGTTTCTTCCTGGAACAGCACCTTGTACATGGGCTGAGCTTTTCTGCTTGAATGGGCTTGCTTTGAGAGAGAAAAGAATTGAACATACTGTTCAAAATGAGACTTCAGAACCTGACCTGAGTAGCAATTTCATGGTGTAGAGAAAACTGCATGGGCCGGATGGGAACAGTGCCACAGGCTTGAAAACTACTGCCTTTTCCCAGGCGATACAATAGGTGATAGATGGTGTGAGTCAGGGCAGAGCCACCATGAAGGATAGGTACTGTTTCACTGACCACAAGGGTTGTCTTTCAGAATTGGTGTTTACCTCAATAGCCACCAGCATGTGGCTTACACTGCTTACTGCAATGATCCCGCATACCTCTGGCCCCTAGTGTTGTAAAGGGAATCTTGGACTTCTGATTTCACGACTCATTTTCTTACTTGTGAAAACATATAAAGCATTGATACTGAAATCTTTTTTTGCATTTATAGTCTTAAAACAGCTGATAGGATTTTCAGGGAAATGATGTTGGAGTCAACCTGGTATACTATGTACTAATTGTGTTCCCAGACTTAGGGATTTCATGGACCATTGACCTAAGGATTAAATGGAAACTATTTTATCTGTTCATTTTAGCAGTGCATTTATTCTTTTGGGGAGTTGATACATGTGTATAACATAAGCTAATTTTTTTTTAAAAAGATTTTCTTCTCCCTATTTTCCTCCTTTCCTAGTCTGACATTTTATATCTTTCAGAAAGAGATCTTTTAAATGATCACAAAATCTGGTATAATTTTTGGAGGGAGAGTACATTTATCACACACCCTTTGGTAGCCTCTAGCCCATGTTGGGGTTATCTTTAAATGTAAAGTTATTGATGTTTCAAGGGCTCTGGTTACTTGAAACTGACTGGTTTTAAGCTTGAGGACAGCAGCAAGAGACTTGGGCCATGTGTGTAGCCATTGCCCAGGGCTGATGACCTGCAGGCCTAGGCTGTCTCCTTTTTGGTTTCCACACAATTTAGGACTTTTGTAGCAAGAAAGTTCGCTTGTATGTGTGAACTTTTTTATGCTTAGAAATGGAATTTTTTAATATAGGACAGTGGAGTAAAAGAAATGATCTGATGGACTAAATGTTTTAATATTTGTAATTCTTAAAGACTGATAGGCGTTTTAAAGTTTTCTAAATCACCTTTTAGGAGACAGGTACATAAAGTTTTCCCTCTGCTCATTTTTTTTTTTTTTAAAGTAAGGACAGGCTAACTACTTAAAATTTGTGAGAAGCTGAACACTGGTTTACACTTTATCAGTTGAATTTTGAGGATTTGTAAAGAACATAGCACTAACGAATTTTTTTTTCTTCAAATTTAAAGCTAAAAAACGGGACATCTATGACAAATATGGCAAAGAAGGCTTAAATGGTGGTGGAGGAGGTATGTGAGTGAATTTCTCTTTGGAGGCACAAGATCTTAACAAAGTTACCTGAATTTGAGTTGTTTCTAAATTGTAAGTTACTGAATTGTGGTCAGGCCACATGGTAATAAATAGAGGTGCAGCCTGAAAAGTGGGCTGAGTTGGCTGGTGGGTGGAGAAAGTGACATTTTTTTTTTCCTTCTAAAGACTGCTCTAAAGAAAGTGACATTTTAAAATAGCCCTATTAAAAAGCTGGACTTGGTGCAGTATTTGGGAGAAGGATTAGAAAGTTTAAACCCACCCTGGGCAATTTACTGAGACCCTTTAAATAAGAAATTAATAAACGACTGGGGATGTAGCTCATTTTGAATGCCCTAGATACAATCAGTAGTTTCAAAAGAATGTGAAAAATACAACAAACCCCCCAAAAGCAACCAAAAGTCCACCTTTTGTTATGCTTGTTGGTGGTGGGTTTCCATAATGCTAGCATGACTGGTCTCAAACACCAAAACAAAAATGGAATCTTCTGTTAGACTAGGAAGTATTTATTGATGTACTTACTGTAGAAGTGACACAGTATCATCATTGTACTGTCATACACTGAGCTTTCACCCTTAGATCACTAACCAGTGTTTAGTCAAAATGTCATTTGAGTTAAAGGGCAGACTAAATGTGTGTGTCATAGAAAGTCTCTGTAGTGGCCAGCTATTATATGGGAACCTTCAGCTTGGGCTCCTCAGAATCCTCTGAATGAATGCATGTTATGTTGCAGCTGGGTAGAAGATGTGCAAATATACTCTTGGTTTTCATAAACCTTCACAACAAACATTGAAAATGCATGTAGTGAGGCTGGGGATTTAGCTCAGTGGCATAAGCGCCTGCCTTGCAAGCAGGCGGTCATGAGTTCCATCCCTGGTACCGATAAAAAGGAAAAAGGAAAAAAAAAAAAAGCAGAAAATGCATGTAGCTAGGCATGGTAGCACATGCCTATAATCCTAGCATGTAGAAGGCCGAGGCAGGAGGATTCCTCCTGAGTTTGAGGCCGGTCTGGGCTATAAAGTGAGTTCCAGGCCAGCTTGAACTACATAGGGAAACCCTGTCTCAAAAAGATACAAAAAAAGAAAAAAGGAAAAAAAAAAAAAAAATGAAAGGAAAAAGAAAAATGCATATAAGCTGTGTTGACCACAGAGTTGGAGATAGTGAGTAGTAGTAATGAAGGGAACCCAGCTGGGACCTTGTCTGCTGAGGACTGAACCCCTCACACAAAGATAGATTTGGTCAATGTAGGGCTCGTTGTGAGTTTCAGAGAACCCCAGATGTATGGTAGATCACTTTTTGTTTTAAAGTTTAGAGCTCATAAACTAACCTCTGTCTTGTGTTTGTGTGTAGGTGGAAGTCATTTTGATAGTCCATTTGAGTTTGGGTTCACATTCCGGAACCCAGACGATGTCTTCAGGGAATTTTTTGGTGGAAGGGACCCATTTTCATTTGACTTCTTTGGTAAGTAGCTCCATTGGTATGTGTGTGTTGTCTGGTGTGGACCAGTGGTGCATTTCCTGTTTTGTGTTTTATAACAAATCTTTGATTTTTAAGCAGCACGGAAGTCATCATACTTTTTCTGCCTTCTTTTTGGAAGACTTGAATGTTTAGGGAACATACAAAGATAGTGAAGGTTTTAGTGCATTCTTTCTCTTGACCTGGGAGGTCCTGTTACCTTGCCTTTGCTCTGTCAGATCACATGAGGATGTAGGTCATGGGGATGGAACCCAGGGGATTGAGATGATTGCGCAGGTACTCTGCCACTGAGCTTCCTTCTTAGCTCTGCTCTGGTGCGCCAGTTTCTGTGAATTTAATGTCATAGATGCTTTTCAAAAGACTTGTTATCTACCAGCCTGTGTCTCTTTAATTGTGACAATTGAGGCCATGGCTGTTGTGGAGACAGGCAGCAGCAGAAGAGTTTTATTGAAGGAGACTGCTTATTCACAGCTGTTTGATTATGAACTTTTCCTAGTCCTAGTGCTAGACCTTGGGAACTTGTCTGTTGTGGACACAGGCATGTACTGGGTACTCAGCTGTTACGAGTTCTTCCGATTGCTTGGGATTGCTTCCGATTGATGTGCGCTGGTTGAGTTGGGAGGTCAAGGTTGACTGGGCTGCCACTGTAATTTTTGTCTCATGGACATGGAAAGGAAATACACCCTGTATTTGTCTCCTTCGTTGTCGAGAGTATGCAGTTGAAGAGATTGCACACCACTGGCAACCCCTCAAGAGGGAAAAAAGAAGAACATCTGTGTCTACCTGTGATATCAGCACAGAGGAGACCTATGACATCTCCTGCCTGCCCGTGTGCATGAAGAGGAGCAGGCCTGTCATTGACATCCAGGGTATTCCTGGAGATTTTCCTTACTCTTATTGTTCGTTCGTTCGTTCTTTCTTTCAGATACGTCTTGCTATGTAGTTTAGGCTAGCCTCGAACTTACCGCGGTTCTTCTGCTTCAGCCTCTTAAGTGCTGTAGCTAAAGGTTTGTGCCACTATGCCTTGCTCACTCTGCTTTGTGGTTTGACTTCCAGTGAACCTTCCTGAGGGAGGATTGATGGTGGAAACATGGAGGCAGGTTCACCAACTTAGAATCAGATGTGAAGCAGGAGTGTGCTCAGATTAGAGGGAGTGGGGAGATCATGTCCTCTCATAGCTTCCATGAACACAGTATGAGCTAGCAAGACTCTAGAAGGTTAGAGATTTTGGAACATTAATGTTCACCTGATGGAGTTTTATGCAGATACTCCAGCATCTGAAAAAAGTATCACAGATCTGAAATATTTCTGCTCCCAAGCAGTTTTCTTTTTCTCTTTTTCTTTTTTTGTCTTTCTGGAGACAGTCCAGCATTTCAGGCTGGACTTGAGCTCACTTTGTAGCCCAGGCTGGTCTTGGACTTGCAGTGATCCTCCTGCCTTAGTCTCCTGAATGCTGGGATTACAGCTGTTTGCCACCATGCCCAGCCAAGCAAGAAGTTATTACCGAAGAAACACTTTGCTGACTGAAGTTTTCAGTCTTTAATATGAAAGACCTTTGCATTTCATTGTAATCTTGGGACTGCACAGTGAGGGGCTGATGTGTGGGTGGGGCACAGCTAGGGTTAACATTCAGGGATTTGAGGAGGCCAAGTGGCCTGTGCTTCTGGCACCTTAGGCTTCAGTCTTGAAGTGCACAGGAAGAAGCAGGTACCTGTGATCTCTGTAGCATGCTTTGTCTTACATGAAGCCTGTCCACTAACAATGATTATTCTTGAGCATTTCTTTGTAAAGAAGGTATGAACTTACAGTTGAGTAGGAGTGATTTGAGTTTTGCCATTGTCCAGTGCCAGTCTCACTGAAGCTGCTCTCAGGTTACTCAGCCCTCATAGCAGCACTGCTGCCTTTCAATGGTGACTGTGGCAGTTACATTGTTCCATCGATTTTTGTAGCTGTTCTAGGGAACTTCTGTTTTCAGGCTGTAAGGATTTGCACATAGGAAATGAAAGTGCGCAACAGCTTCTGCATGTACGAAAGTCACTGTGTAGCCCACTGGTCGTATGTGTAGTATGCAGTATGCAGAACTTTGGGCTTAGCATTCAGATCACATACACAGCTCCGTTATGTTGTCTTTGTATTGCAGCACATTACTTTCAGTATTAATTTTTCATATAATTTGTTTTACTCTCCTAGTTTGGTTTTCAAAGAAATAGCTCAAAATCCATTGTAAGTAAGATAGCTGGGTATAATAGTATGTGCCTGTAATCTCAGTATATAGGGAGGCTGAGAAGCAGGAGGAGGATGAGTTAGAGACCATGCTGGGTGTTGTTGGATGTTTTTGAGCTCTAATTTGCATTTTTTTCAGATACCGAGCTCCTTGTGGAATAGGCTTCCCTGCCTCCCCTTTTGAGATCCAGTTAACCTCACATCCAGAACTGAAAAGTGAGGCAGGATGCACTCTAAGGTCCCATTGAGCCACCCTCAATATCAATGGGAGCAGCTCTCCCAGCAGAGAGAGTGGAAATGCGGTTTTCAGGCTGTGCTCAGAATATGCCAGGCCATTGGCCACCTTTTAAATCCTCATAATGTGGAGCACATGCAGATAAGCCTTCATCAAATGAAACGAGAATAACCCGGATCAGAGGTCTCCTCATTTGTCATTAGGGTTACCATCCTAGTGTTATTTTATTTATATTTGTGTTTCAAAAAGCCACAATTGGTCCTGAAATCCTTTCCTGGAGAGCCGATTCCTTTTGCATCTTGGCATTTTTCCTTCATGAAGGCAACAGTCTTGTTAGCCTTAGTGAATGGGACATAGCAAGGAGGGGGCAAAAAAAATCATAGTCTGTAGGACTCAGGAAAGCAGACGTTGGAGGGGTGAATTGTGAGGAGGGTGGAACCTCTTCTTTAACTTGGGATCTCAATTTAAGGTAGCTAGTCCTTTTACTTGGTACCCAGAATTCCAGGAAGTGTCCTGTGAGGACTTGGAACCTAGTGAAGATCTAGACCAGCCCTCTCTTGAGATAGGCGAAGATGTCCTGAACTAAGAGAGCAATGAAGTTTTAGATGTGATGCCCAGCGAGGAGCTGAGCGAAGTCTGTAGCTGGGCCACAGCGAACTTCTCAGTGAGGACCTGGCCCCATATCCAGCAAGGAGGAAGCCAGCCCCTGGGGTGCAGAGGAGCTCTTGAGGAATACACAGCACTGCTAGCCAGGAACTTTGTGAGGAGGTGCTCTGGTGCTTTTGGTTCAAAAATAAATTGTAAGCCAGGTGTGGTGGTGCCCACCTGTAATCCCAGCACTTGTGAAGCTGAGGCAGGATTGTTACGAATTCAAGGCCACCTGAACTACATAGCAAGAGCCTATTTCAGAAAAACTGGAAGAAAAAAATGTAAAAAGAACTGCCTCAGGCCTGTGTTTTTATACAGAGATGTAGTTTATTTCTAAAGCTTATCTGAAACAGAAACTTGGTTCTGTTGCCTCAATACCACACTTGTCCAGATAACCTCAGCTGCTTTGGAGATAGAACTGGAGTCCTGAGGGACTAAGTTGGCTGTCTCCTAGTCATCTCTACCTAGGATGGGTGGGCTTTGGGCCACATGAGTTGCAGCAGGAACTGAGTGCCAAAGGCTGGCAGCGTGTGAGCAGACTGTTGGCAAGGCCTCTTCTGAGGCCAAGGGAAAATTAGCTGTCTCATATTGGTGGCTGTAGGTGGATCTTGGCTTATGGTCCATAGTCTCTCTATGTACTTGCATCCAAATATCATTTATAGAGAGGCAGCCAGTTATGAATACAGTTTTAGGAGCAATGCTAGTAACTTAATCTTTTTTTTTTTCCCCTTGTCTGTCCTTTTGAGACAGTCTTGGTGTGCAGTTCAGGCTGGTCTTGGGTTCGCATTGTAGTCCAGACTGGTCTTGAACTTGCAATGATCCTCCTGCCTCAGCCTCCCAAATGCTGGGATTACAGGATTGTGCCACTACTGACTTTAGTGACTTTGTCTTAAACTTGATCATCTGCAAAGATCTTATTTCTAAATAAGAGTATTTTCATAAGAACCAAGGTTAGGATGTTAAGCATGTTTTTGGAATGACAGTGGTTCAGCTGGTAACATTCCCTTTTTCCCCTTTTGCTTTTGTTTTGATCAGTTATAAATTGGTAAATATGTGAAATACGAGATGAGCAGTAGAACAGGTTGGTGTTTAATGCTGCAAGTGGATTTGTGGCTGTGTCCTGTGCTGCTGTCATCAGATGGTACTACTGGGTTTTTATGTTGGGTAGCCACTTTCCTCATTACTTCAGGGTGCTTGTCAGGCAGGCATTAACGCCACTGAGCTAAATCCCCTGCCCCAGGGCAAGGTTTTATATACATTCAGTGGTGGGCATCTGACGTTTGGAAGATATCAGAGTGGTTTCTACCCCCAGTTGCTTTACATACCAGCCCAGCGGTTTTCACAGGGGGTCTCTGCTTGCACCCTCTCTCTCGGGCATGGTGGTGGTAGTTTGAGCTTGTTCCCCTGTGCGAATGCATCACAGCCCAGTTGAGAGTTGCTGCTCTGAGATCAGGGGCAGATTTCGTTTAGTCACTCTGGCAGTGAGGGAGTTGCTGCTGCAGTGATGGTTGCTTTTCTTTCTGTCTCTAAGGCTCCTCTTCTAGAACCAGGCTATATAGCATTCAAGTGTAGTAGTTTAGTCTAGTGTCTTTTGTATGCTTTGCTGTGGGTGGAGTTTCTAGTTCTTGGAAGATAGAGTACTTGTTGGACTTGGTGTGGAAGTTGAAAATATTGGTGTTGATTTATTGAATATGACTCATGCTCTGTAACATGGTGCCAGGCTCTGTTCTGGGTACTGATCCAAGGTGCAGAGAATACCCAGGAGGCCTTGGCTGCAGGCTTGCAGCCCAATGGGTATCAGTGATTGTTTTTCTTCTGTTCCTGTTTCTTTTTATTCCTTTGTAACATGTCACTACTTTGTTCTGAGTGTGTGGGCTCCTGTGTAGGACACTAGAGTCACGTAAGTGACTGTCTTCAACTCCACTCTGACACTGGGATTCCTTGGAGATGGCTGTGGGCTTGCCTGTCGGGGTAGCCTGTGGAGTTCTTTGTTCCATTCTCTCAGGGTTACTGATGATATCAAGTGAAGTGCATTCTAGGTTTGTCACTGGTTTATTTAGTTGTCCTTTTCTGTCCCACCTTTTCTGTGTACTTAGATTTTAATAATGTCGGACTTGAACAATTATTTCTAAGATGGCAATATGTAATCCATTAACTAGTGATTTCCTACTGCGCATTTTTTATTCTGTAAATCTGTATAACTTGTACCCCTTCACTGTTTTTTTTTCTTTCTTTTCTTTTCTCCTTAAATAAAAATTAAAAAAAAAAAAAAATAATGTCGGTCAGGGGGAAGGGAGTTAATCACTGTTGTCCTCTCATCCATGGAGGGTTCCATGCAGTGTGAGCCAGAACTAGATGTGCTTTTCTTTCTCCTTCACCTCCATTGGCACTAGGTTAAAGCAGATGGTTTCAGTCACTGTCTCCACTAGATGCTGTTAAAGATGTACAGTCTTATCACCTTTCCCACATCCTTACACCCATGAGGTCTCTTGTTTGTTGCACCCATGTTAAGTGGTGTTTGTGTGTCAGGATCCAGAGCTGAATCGAGATTGGTCAGAGTTCTGTAGGGAAGCAGAGACACGTGTCATTTGTGATGAGGCTGAGATTCAACATCTAGGCTGTTTAGGGAGTGGTCAAGAAAACTCAGAGCTGGTGTGTGTGCTGTGGAGTATTGGAGGTGAATTCAGTCTTCGGTGCTCTTTATGTCCTCATTTGAATTTAAATTCAGAGTGGTCACTGTGACTGGGACTACTGATTGAAATGTTACCCTTGTCTGGGAAACACCCATGCTGGGTTAAAACTTGGCCAGGGCAACACATGAAATTATTCATCATCCTATCCCTTCTGCCCCCATCTCTGTGCCTACTTGGATACCCTTGAACCTTCCCCACTGGAGGCCAGGACCTTGATTGAGCATAGTACCTCCTTTGATGTATGCATCAGAGAGAGGAAACACAGGCACTAGCTCAAACATCCACATAGGTACCATGCACACATGTGCATGAATGAGCAGGAAGGAACGAGTGTGTACGGGAATGCACCACAGCACCTGCCGTAAACAGACTCTAAGAGTGGCCTTTACAGTGGAATGTGGGAACTGGGTTGCAAATTAGTAATGTTTGGATTTAACCAACCGTAGCAGTTGTCTCATCCCTCTCTCCATACATCCTTGCTGGTGCTTGGGGGTGGAGTGCACCCATCTGCTGCTCTGCACATACAGCGTCTCAGGCAGTCTCTCCCAGCTCTTGGAACAAGCTGCTGCCAGGTCTTTACTTGTCTCAGCTCCCCTTACCTATTGCTGAACCCCTTGAGATGCAATGCGTCCTGTTCAACTGGAGCTCCTTCTGTGGTCTCTGGCTGTGCCTTGCAGTGCAGTTCTGATCCTGGCAGACTCCTGACCTTCATTATCCTGAGCCAGACTCTGCTGTGTGCAGCTACATGCGCACCATCCCATTCTGGCATGGTACACTGTTTCCTTGTTGGCCACTGTCTTGTCCTCTGTCTTGGAAACATGCTATACTAATTCTGTCCGTCTGTATTCTTGGTAGCTTCTTCCTTCTGCGTGCACTTATGTCCTGATGCATCTTTTAAGATTCCTTGTTGCTTGTCACAGATTCCTTATGAAAAGCATAGCGTTTGATAATAACAAAGAAAAAGGTAAATTTTAAAAGTTTTATATATATCCCTTGCTTCTTTAGTGAAGTACTTGTTGATAACACAATGAAGAGGCACTCACTGCTCTTCCCCCCAGTGGCTTTTTTTTCAAATCCATTTTAAGTACTCTTTAAAAAATTGCAATATTATGTTTAGAGTGAACTATAAATTAGTACTAGTACTAGTCTTTTATTTCCAGGAGCATTTTGTTATTTCCAGTAATAATGTGTGCTATGTAATTTTCAGTGAACATTTCTTAAAACACAGCATTAGGCCTGTCACATACCATTTGTTGTTCAGATGTCACTGACTAAATTTTTTGAAACCTTAAACTTACTGAACTATGAAAGGAGTTTCAGATGCTGTGGCTGGGTTCTGTAGCTTTCTTTCGATCTCCCCTGAAAGACAACTTCTTATACATAAAAATCCCCTCTTTGATTACTCTCAGGTGCACACCAGCCATCCTGGGTCACGTGTATATATCTAGTGCTTTCATTTACCTGTGGTCTGTCATGTATGACAGCTTTAGTTCCGATGAAGTGGTAAGTAGGTGTGTCAGATGAGATAGATGGTCTGGATATTCTATCTGACTGTAACTTCATGTTGGTAAGGTGTTGTTCCTGACTGAATGGTATGTCAGAAAGCATTAACCCATTTTCTCTCTCCCATGGAAAAATTAAATACAGATAAAGATTCTTGCATTATGTGTTGCTATTTGTTTCCAGAAGACCCATTTGAAGACCTTTTTGGGAACCGAAGGGGTCCCCGAGGAAGCAGAAACCGTGGCACAGGCTCTTTTTTCTCCGCCTTCAGTGGGTTTCCATCCTTTGGAGGTGGATTTTCTGCATTTGATACAGGTATGGAATCCCTAGAGATAATCTTTGGTGTCTGAACAGAAATCAGTGTACTTAGAATATTTGGCATGGCAGTGTTAAGTCTGTATGTTCTTTTGATACAGGAGCTTTGTAGGTGAACTAGCATTTTTAAGTGTATACAAGTTCTTAATAACTTTCATTTTCCCTCTAGTCTTCCCAAGAATGTTAAGCTTAGAAAGGCTCTAAAAATACAGGACAACATTTAATGAAATTCTTGGTTAAAAAGGATAATGTGTATTTTGGGTAAGTGAAAGGTTACTCACTTGGAGAATTTCACTTAATCCTTCATATGATCTAACCTCCTTTGCAGTTAAACAGAAAGCACAACTAGTGTCACAGCAAGTGTCTAACCTGATGGAGCTGGCAGGTTGGCTCACAGCCTGGGTGCGTGGCTGCAGCCAGACTGGCCCTTGAAGTGTGAGCCAGTAGTGACGGGTGGTGAATCAGAGCTGCTGCACACACTTGGCACAGTGGTGTGGTATTGGAGAGCCGGGCCGGGCCTGCCCCTCCTAAGGTTCCCCTAATTCTCGTGCAGAACTTGTACAGCTAAATTGTTGGCTACACTGGACTGGAGTTTATTTACTTATTTTTTTTTAGTACTGGGAATCAAACTCAACCTCACACTTGCCAGGCAGGCACTGTGTTGCTGACCTGTGTCCCTGGCCTGGACTGGAATTTTTATTGTGCTTTTCCAGGAGAGAATGCAAAGAAAGAAGCTGACTAAAAATACCAAGAAAATGGTATTTCGTGTGGGACGTCCATGTGGTTAGCATGTGTGGTAGCTGTCCTTGCCAGGAGGAGCCACACAAAGAACTTTATTGCCATGGTTTATCTCACTGCCGTGGCTCACTCTGGATCTGTGCAGTGTGGCCAGTCCCGTGGAAACAGGCTATTTGTGTGAAGTATTTACTGGGTTTCAGAATCTTCTCAAATGATAATATTTTGGATTGATGGAGAGAATGGAAAAAAGAGAAAGGGGATGAAAATAGGAATTAAGAAGCATTATGTACATGTACCAGTTTCCTACAAGGAACATAAACATCGTTTGCTTCAGATGTACTAATTTTTTAAAAAAAGGAAATAACTGGAAATACAACTCAGTGGCACAGTGCCTACTAGCAAGTAAAAGGTCATGAGTTCGATTCCTGGCAACCGCCACGCCCCATTAGATGATACCTGGAACAAATACGTTCTCATATTCCATGAATAAAAAAGAGGTAATATTTTAGAATACAGAAGATTTAATAAAAACGTAACATTAGAATGTATTGGTTCTCCCAATTTTTAATGAAGCCATAGGAAAATATAAAGTATTATATAAGTACACCATTAACTGAAGATGTGTGTGGTTGGTTTTTTTTTTTTTTTTTTTTTTTTGGTGCCCGTGATCGAACTCAGGACTGCATGCTTGCAAAGGTAGACACTTACGCTCCTGAGCTAATTCCTCAGCCCCAATGTGTGTATTTTTTAAAAGATGACGAATTGCAGGATTCTTTGTGAAATTATCTTAGCCTTTTGATTTTGGTTGCTATTCCCTTTGTTCCCCCTAAAGCTGAGCCACCAAGGCTTACAGTCTGTGGTGGTGATGTCCCGCTTTTCCTGTGACATAAAGATGCACCAGATCCCTGTGCTCTCCATGGTACACGATGCCAAAAGACCCCAGGTCTCCAGAGAGTCTTGGGCTTGTGGGATGTCAGTAGTCTTGCAGGGCGTCTGGTGGAAGGACAGGGAAGAACAGCTGCCTAGCATTGCTGTAACCTGCCAGCACATGGCCAGTAGCTCCTGAGACAGCTGCTCTTTGCCCTGGGACCTGCAGCTTCTCCACCTAGGCCTCGGCCTCTGGGCCTTCTGACATCAGCTAACTGGGCAGTTCCTTCATTTGGAACTTGCTGTGTTAGCTGCCAGTCGCTCTCCATTTCTGCTTTCCTGTAGGATTCACTTCGTTCGGGTCCCTGGGCCATGGGGGCCTCACTTCATTTTCGTCCACCTCATTTGGCGGCAGTGGCATGGGCAACTTCAAGTCTATATCAACTTCTACCAAAATCGTGAACGGTAGAAAGATCACCACAAAGAGGTACAGTGTCATTCATTATATACTTTGTTTTTAATGAGTCATGATTTGTTACTGGTGCCACGGTAACCATGCACTCTTCCCTAGAGTCGTTTATTAAGTTGTATGTTTAGGCTCTAAATTACATAGATAGAGCTGTGAGGTGTATGTGTATGGTCCTTGGGATTAAGCCTTGGGCTTTGGGCATCCTAGGGCTGTGCCTCTGCCACTGAACTACATCTTTTCTTTTTATGAAAAAGAGACAGGTTCTCTGAGTTGCCCAGGGTGGGCTTGAACTAGTGATCTTGCTTCAGCCTCGGAGTGCAAGGATTACAGGCATGTGTGCCTGCATGCATGTGTATGTATGACTGGGGATTGAACCTTTAGACTTGCCACATACCAGGCAAGCATTCCACCACTGACCTGCGTCCCACTCATTTCTCTTTTAATTTTTTGAGTCATGGTCTTGCTGAATTGCTCTGGCTGGCTCAGGTTTGCCTCCTGAGTGGCTGAGGTTACAGTCATGTGCCATTGTGCTTGGCAGGTTTGTTTTTTTAAATGGGCACTTAATATGAACTTGGTAGGAACACTGGAAATGTTTCATACCTAACAGTGTGTGATAAGTTTTTGCAACATTGTTAGGAATGGTAAAACTCAAATCATTAATAGTAAAACTGTTACTTTTTAAATTTACAGCATAGTGCATTACACTGAGGGCCTTGTGTGTGCCAGACAAACATTCTGCCACTGAGTTATAATGCTGGCTCCAACTATTTTTGATTAATAAGCAATATCTCTGCATATATTTAGCAGTCAGTAAGACACAACTTATTTTGAGAAACGTTTTGTTATTAGGTTGATTTTTTTTTTTTTTTAAAGCAGTGGTGTGCTTTAAAATACCCTCATGTATTTTATATGTAAAAATTCTCATTTCAATATATGTTTACTTTATAAAAGAGGTTTCACAAAACATTCTATCCTACAGAATTGTCGAGAATGGTCAAGAAAGAGTAGAAGTTGAAGAAGATGGACAGTTAAAGTCCTTAACAATAAATGGTAAGGAGCAGCTGCTACGCTTGGATAACAAGTAATTCAACGCACGAATTTAACAGAAATGTTAAACTATAACAAGCACCATTTGAGGATTAAACAGGAACATTTTTTTGAAGATTTCAGACGAACTCAACTTTCAGTATAACTGTACCTAATCTAAAGTATTTATAAAGAGCTCATCGGAGCCCCTCTTTGTCATAGACTTTTGAGTTTATTGTTGGGACCACACAATAGGACCATTTTTTGTCTTTAAAATTGTTGTAATCTCTGTATGCACTTTGCTTTTTTATTAAACGTGATCCAAGGGTAAGCCTGACTCTTGAGTAGCGCTAGGACGAGACTGTACTCTAACACCAGCATGGATCTGTTTTCCATTGTGTGTGAAATGTGAGCCAAGTAGTGTCCGCCTGCTGTAAAGCTAACATGGCCAGGATGAGTCCTCCACAGAAATAATTTCCATTTTCTTCAGTATTTAGTAATGACAGATATTAATGCAGCATTAATGGTAATACATTTCTGGTTCAATACGAATTTAAGGATGTTTTCTAGTTGTGCATGGATGCTGGCAACTTAGTAAAGTTTTGACAATTGTTTAAATGTGTAATGTTAAGCTTAGGTTTATAAAAGCTGGTAAACTGGGTCTTTGTCATTTGCTTAAAAAAAAAAAAAAGAAAATAAATGTGAATGTGTTTGGTGCATTCTTTCTGGAGTGGGATCTGCAGTCTTCTTGTGTCTGTGTATTTTGTGCCTGAGCTTCTAGTGTCCCTTTATCAGTCCTTCATTTTATAATTAAGGCGGGTGCTAAATGTAAGTTATATGCAGACTATATAAAGCCTGCTTATTTATAAGTGATTTAGCAATTGAACGTTTTAGAATGGTAACATTTCTGTGGGGGAGGGAAGAAACAGTTGTGAAAAATTTTATTCTTAAAAAGTTTTGTTTTTTCCTGAATATATTTGGTGTAAGATCATGTAAGGACAATATGCATGATAAAAGACATAGAGTGATTAAGAAGTCAGCAAAAATAAAGGTGTTTTGTTTTTTGATCTCTAAAACTTTTCATGATCTTTTCATAGTCACCATTGGTAACTAGAATTTCAACTGGATTTTACAGACTGTTAAAGTGGATGTTGATTACATTTATGAGTTCCCTTTGTCCACCCTGTCCCCTAGTTCTTTTTTGGAAATGAGCAGGATACAGCTTTCCCTTACAGCTGACTCAGGTGGGTACCCCAGGGAATTTCTCATGGTACCATGGAGTCTTTAAAAGAACTCTGGTATATCACTTCTGAAAACAAGTAAAAGGCATTAAAAAAAATCTCAAGGGCCTTTTAAAGAGAAAATAAGAGCAGAAATTAACTGAGGTAGGTGAAATTAATTTGAGTAGAGACAACAGTAAATGTGGGCTTGAAACTGTTGCATTAGGAGTGCAGTGTGAGGCTGCCTGTGACACTGTACAAGTTGGGTATTAGGTGTGCCAATCACATTGCACATGACAGCAATGGGCATTGATTTCATGACTAGAGCTTGAGCACCAGAAAGCACATGCTGTGTGTGTTGGCATAACAATTGCTTTGTCATTTCTGAATGAGCCCATCAAGTAGATGACAGATTGCAACGTATTTTTCATGAATGGACTGGGTGAGTCAAGCTGCTGCCTGGAGAGACAGGAGGATGATAAGCAGTCTTGTTTATTCCATGATTATAGTGTTTTACCACAGCTTTGGTTCTTCTGTAGAGTTCTTTGGTCACTCTATCCTGGATGCTGCAGACCTAAGTGTTGGTTGCAACTCCACTGGTAAGCACTAGACTGTATGTTAGAGCAGAAGGTGCTGGGTCTTCCAGAGGAACATGCAGTCCAGTGTCACCATTGCCTTGTCTTTTTGATGAAATGTTACCTCATCAAGTTATTGATAAAATGAACAATTTCCTGTCAGGTCTGGTTTTTTGCTTTCTGATCACAAAGTTCATTGCAGAGACTTGAGTCCAGCAAGTAAAAGCAGTGCGGAGAAAAGTGGTGGCCATACTTTGTTCAGGGACGGTATCACTGTGCCAGGGAAGAACAGAGGAGTGATTCTTGGCAGCTTGGGAAAGTTGATAGATCCCTTGCTGTTTGTGTTTCTAATGGTCTCTTCATGGATTGATGAGAAATTGGAATGGGAAGCTGAAAGCTGCTTGTGCCTGGGTGTGCTTGGTTCTGCCTGCTCTCACCAAAGACTGACCCAACCTATGGCTGCGTTCGGGAGCTGTGCTTTTGGGTTCACACTGTCTTCATCATGGGGTGCAGGAGGCCTGAGCTCAAGGAGTACACGTGTGCTGGCTGCATTTTTAAATTTCTGCTTGGTTTTCTTCCCCATAGTTTCTCCCAGTGTGTTTGATTATTTCACTGATGTTTTGTTAATTCTCCATGTTTCTTTACAAAATATAAACAAAGATCCCCAAAGTTCAGGCTTAATTTTGGAAGCTCGGTAGTAACTGTTCTAATATGAAGGATAGAAACTCTGGCATCAGTTGCATTTTATCTTTCTTTGGGTAGTACGTCAGAGTGCAGATTTTAGTAGTTTGTAGGGTTAGCTTGAAGTAAAAGTGCCTTGTTGTGTTGGGGTAGTAATGTTTGAGGAACAATGTAGATGATCATCTTTGCAGCGTTTTAAATTTCTGCTTATTAATTACTTGTAAAAGCTTCAAAATTCTGCTTATTCTGTCCTGGTACCTATTAGCTCTCATTACCTTTCCAGGGAATACAGAAACACTGATCTTGTCTTCCTTTGTCATATGTTTTTTCCCCTGTTACTGGGAAGTTCCACCTTGGGCCTTTGCACTGAGGTGCATCCTGACTGCTGCACTAGGTCCCACAACCCCCACATTTTTTAAAACTTAGAAACAGCGTCTGTGAAATTGGCCCCACTGTGCTTGTGCTCACGCTCCTCCTGCCTCAGTCTCTGAGAGTGCTGGGGTGATGGGTGTAGGGCACTGTTCCTGGTTTGTTGTTCTTTTAATTCTTGTATAAGAAGAATGATTTTCACAGGACCCAGCAGTAACTTATACTTCATTCTTCCTTCTTCTGCTCTTCCTTGTCAGTGGTGAAGAGGTTAGCTACTAGTACTTCTGCTCAAGGTTAAGATAAGATAGGCATAACCATTTCTGGGAGGTTTTCAAGCACAGCATGTGTTCAGTCAGTTTAAACACTTGGTAGTGTGTGGTGAAGAGGAAGTCGAACCACTTCATTTTATAATCACAGGATTCTGCTATCGTTTAGAGGCTTTTTTTTAGAGGCGCGCCCCCCCCCCTTTTTTTTTGTCTTTTTCATTTTTATCGGTACCAGGGATCAAACTCACGACTGCACACTTGCAAGGCAGGTGCTTACGCTGCTGAGCTAAATCCCCAGCCCCTTAGAGGCCTTTCTAAAGTGCACAGTATGTGTGCATTAGGAAATATAACATGTGTGCAAATATTGCCCCATATTTGCTTGACTTTAAACTATTTCTCCCTCACAGTTTCCCGAACCCTTAAGGTCAGTCTGATTCTGCTGCTTTATTTTGGACACTGAAGAGCTAATTTTAGGTTTGATGGGCAACTTTTGTTTTTGGTTTCATTGCTGGGATGGACCCTAGGTTATACCTTGCTAGGCAGTTGCTCTTCCACAGCTCTCCCTCTGCAATGTGACTTTGGGCTTCTAATTGCTTCTTGGTTCCTGACTGTTGGGTGTGCTGTTTCTAGCTTTGCTGAGGACTTATGTCACGAGATATAGAGCTCAGTCTGACCCCCGATTTTCAAAGGTAAAATGAGAGAACATTACAACCCTTCTTATTTGCTCAAAAATCAGAGACCCATGGATTCAAAACTAGAGGCAGGTGCAATTTTGGAGTCTTTTTATAAAGTATAATTGAACATTAAATATCTGGCTATTGCCTGCTTTGGGGGTGGGACACTGTTACTGGGAACTAAATAAAGCTCTGCACTGGCACTGAGCTATGTCCCCAGGCTTTTTTCTTCTTCCTCTTCCTCTCTCTCCTCCCTTTCCCTTCTTTCTTTTCTCTTACCCTCCCTCTTGCCCCCAGTCTTATCTAGTTATTAAGTTGGCCAGGCTGGAGTTGAAATTTGATCCTCCTGCCTCCTGGCTGTTAATTTACTTGTATGTTTGCTTCTTTCTTCTGTGCAGGAAAATGTCATCAAGCTATGTTGTCAAGGAGTTAACTTGTTAATTGTTAAGGTCATGAAGATGACTGGGAGCCAAGTATAGTAACACAAATGCCTGTAATCCCAGCACTTGGGAGGTTGAGAGGCAGAGGCAGGAGGAACGGAGATCAGCCTGAGTTACAAACCAAACTCAAGGCCAACCTGAACTGCATAGCCAAATCCTGTCTCAAAAAGATAAAAAAATAAAAATAAAAAAAGAAAGAAAAAGTGACTTGAGTAAGTTAGATACTTGTTAGAGATCCCTCTATAGTACTCTCTTTCCTAATAACCTCCCATTCAGAAAATAACAGACCCTGTCCTGGGTCTATTACTCCTCCCTCCCAACCCCCTTAGTGCACATAGGAGCAATCCGTTGGGTCAGCTTCTAAAAATGGAACGATTCCAGTTGATTGTCATGGACATGCCTTTTTGCTGTGCAGGTCTTATAACGGGCGCACAGGGTTTAATGCCATTTCTCCTGCAGAGGTCTCCAAGGCTCTCTTTGTGTCTTCACGTCCATTTGTGTGTGGGTGTTGAGAGCATTTGACCTCGGCTCAGACTGCTTGCCAGCGTTGAATGCACTAAGTGTGCACTGTCTGCAGCTCTTGTGCTCTGCCTCTGTCTTCCAGGTTTGTTTCTGTGTGGGTCACTCTTCAGTTAGAGGGTCCTTGCAAGGGTTGCATCAGCTCAGCAGACTCGTTGTAGACTATTCTTGTACTCTGTGGTGCAGTGCGCCATCAGCTCAAGGGCACCCCCTTGCTTTAAATGAACAGATTAATTTGGGGAGACTTTATCCAGGGGCAGCGTAGCAGACTCGTGTTTCC